TAAACTCGATTTCAGTTTGTATGGCCTCACTCCAAAAAGTTTTTTTTTAATTTGTTTTTTTAAGAAACATTTCCAAAGGATTTCTCTATCCTTGGCCTCTTACTTCTTCTCAAAGGAGAAGATTCGTCATTAAAAGAATGATTTTCTTTTAATGGATCACTATCACTAGAGGGTTCATCATCAAAGGTTTTATTTCCTTATAATGGATCACAATCACTATATGGCGCAACGATCTTGTGTTCAATTTTTCAAAGGAAACACATTCTCAAAAAATTCTAGCTTTTTTTTTTCAACAGCGTATAAACAAATAATCATACATGCATCATTTAGTGTGCACATATTCTCCAAAAACGGTCACATGAATATCAGCAATAACATAGCTTAAAGTATTGCACATTAGCACACCATTTCTTCAATTTAAGAAAATCATATATGTGCTTCACCGTTTCAGTTTATGCAAAAGTAGCCAAGAGTTATAAAGCTCATTTTCACTCAATGAGGTAGCTAATAAAAATATAGCTAAATACCCCCACAATTTTAAATATTTAAAAACTTGTGCATAGCCCTTCTAGAATTCATAGAGAGACAATTTATATCTCAACCTTTATTTGAACACAATGATTTTATCAAAACTCATCTTTTATATTTAAATAACATAAAATTTACTTTATCTCGAAAAATCACCAATAGATGTAAAAAAAGAATTTTTACCACCTCTAAACACAATGTAGAAGCTCTAATAAAATTTATATAAATTCATCAAATATATCACAATTTTATAGAGGTGCTCCCATATCACCAAATATCAATCTTAAGATATTTAGGAGTTTCATAAATAAAACAAAATTAAAGACCAACAAAAAATTGTCATGTAAAATGCCAAAACTATTATATCACATAATACAATAATTAACCAACCGTAAGTACACAGAAGCATTATCATGCAACATTTCAAAAGTACTAAGCACAAAAAATTCATTCTTACAATAGCCATTTCCCACAAGAACATCATTTTTGGTCATAACAAAATTGTCACAACCAAAAGAAACTTTAACCCCAACTTTTCCCAAGAGAGAAACGAAAACCAAATTAGTCCAAATTTCGGGCACATGAAACACATCATTTAGTGATAAAGTTTTTCTCGATGTGAGCTTCAGAAGAACTTTCCATTTTCCGTGTACCTTAACGGTTTTAGAGTCCGCTAGGTACACGAGCTCTTCACCATCCCCTATAATAGTATAGGAGGTAAAACATTTTTGTTTTTACAAATGTGCTTGGTAGCCCTAGAGTCTACCACCCACTCATTCACATCACTAGTTTTACAACTTTAAGAAACAACCGCAACAAAATTATCATCACTACTAACCAAGTTTTAAACTTGATTTTAGTGGGTTGTTTGTCATAGTTGTCATTTTACCACTAAATAAAATAATAACATTTTTCTTGAAAAATGGAGTTAAAGTATGACTTATTGTAAGTAGGAAAGTGGAGAGGCTAACCATTATTCGTAGAAAACTTTTGTGAGTGTTTATCTGATTAATACGGCTCCCCATGCAGGCGTATCACAGCCTACTTCGCAGTGCACATGTAGAGATAACATAGCTCCGATGAGTGCGGTGGCAACACCTTGTGAGATCATATGTGCAGGCATATCCAACGCCAAATACTTTCTTGAGATTGTTGGTGGAATTCGGCCAGATAAACCTGCAAAAAAGTGTTAGAAAATAAAAATATAATAATATAGCTCGAGTCGCGTAAACGCTGTCCTCAAGAAAGTATTTCTGACTAGCGAAAACCTTTCCCCAAGATAAAACGAGCTCTTCGGCGTAAGCCGGTAACAGAACAACGAGAGTATAAAATATTAATCCAGCAGCATTGTAATATATTAGAGGATGTTGAACTCAAAAGATAATAATTTTTCTTCTTCCAAACATTTTGGCCTTGCAAAACATATATATAGGTGCACAAAAGAACCGTTGTTGGCCAGATTAGAAACGGCCAAAATAATAACAAATTAATGTCGACAAAACTACTGAAAGAAACGTTCCTATAAGTGAAATATATTAACGTTGAGTTGTAAAGTAACTCCCATGTACATTGAAGCACAATTATATCATTTAATAACAATAGAAAACTAGGAGCTCACATGTTGAAAACAGTTCAGATTTTGAGGACAATTTATTTGAATAATTAAATGATAGAATATGAATTAAAGAGATAAAATATTTTATTCATTTGAAATACTCCTAAGGTCGGTAAAGATATCAGAAGTTTTTGAATGAGAAATGAGAATAAATTTCAGTCGTTGGATTCGACTATGTTGCACTAAAAGACCTTTATATTGCATTGTAAAATGCAACCATCTACGGTATTTTTTTAATACTTTTGAAAAATCCACATTACACCTTCGTAGTGCAAGTCTTAGTGCAATATCTTCAAATCCCAATGTAACATGATATTTTTTAGCACAACATTGCAAACACAAAATTGTTTTAGTGCAATATCATAAATCCAATGGTTGTGATTCATTCTCAGTCGTTAGATTCAACTATGTTACTGTAAAAGAACTTTATTTTGCACTAAGGAAGCAAGAATTCACGGTGATGTTTCCGTGCATGTTTTTGGAAAATCTGAGTTACAACTCTCTAGTGCAACATGATTCGTTTTAATGCAACATAGACAAATTCTAGTGCGACATGAAACTGTTTTATTGGAACGAGACAAAATTTAAATCCGAGTGCAACATGAAATCGTTTCTTGTGCAATATTGTAAATCTAATGACTATATTCATTCTCATTTCTCATATTAGAAGCATTTCTCACTTGAACTAATATGTGTGTATGTGAAGAAAATGAACGAAGTGAATGCAAACCCACCCTTATATATCTGGAATTATAAATTCCTTTCTGTTCACCAATCTCAAAAGACACAAATTTACTGTGAAAGGTTCAAAACTTATATGCACTCCATTTTAAATGTAAATAACCACACATGGGAGAGGTAAAAGAAACCAAAATACATTAACAACTCATTTGAAGTTGTTTCTTAATTGTTCAGAAAAGCAATTAATTGAATACTTGAAGTTGGACGACTATGCTATCGTTGAGTTTTGTTTGCGTGTTGTTATTATAGATTATATTGTGTGTTACTTGATTTTGACCTCTTTAAGTAGTATATATATAGTTTCTTATTAGCTTTAATTGATCAAAGGTATGTTATACTCCCTCCGGTTCCTATTAAAGTTCTCACTTTCCTTTTTGGGATGTCCCTTATTTAAGTTCACACTTCCATTGTAGGAAACAAAACAGTGCCAAACAGTGTCCAAACAGTGCCAAACAGTGTCAAACAGTGTCCAAACAGTGTCAAACAGTGCACTCCACAGTAAAGTCAAATTTATTTTCTTAATCTGTGTGAAGTCAAACTGAGAACTTTAATAGGAACCGGAGGGAGTATGTAGTAGTAATTTATGATTTTTTATAAAAGTTGAAGGAACATGAAAACCCCATCATGATTCATATAGCCATATGGCTCAAATACAACATACTCCCTTCGTCCCATAATTAACTTCGGTTTTGACTGGGCACGGAGATTAAGATAGTGGAATTTGTGTGGTGGAGAGTTGTGCAGATGAGAGAGAAATGTGTAAGAATGATTGTGAACCACATATTCTTTATCAAAAAAGGAAAGAGGAGATAAATTTGGGATGGACCGAAAAGGAAAGAATGAAGATAATTTCGGGACGGAGGGAGTATCACTTAATATGCTTTTACATTACATATTCCTTAGTTTACACTATACTCCTTTCGTCGCTTAAAACTTTGTCAACTTTCCTTTTCTGATTGTCGTAGTAACTTTGTCGCTTTCTCTTTTAATTGCAATATTTGTGATTTTCACTCTCTCTCTCTAGTATAAATTTTAACCATACAATTTATATTTTATTATTCTCAGTGTCGATCAAACTTGACCAAGTTTTTAGCGACAGAGGGTGTAGTACATATAGTAGTATTAATAAACCACGTCACAACTGTTTTAACATACCCAGAGGCCAGAACAATTGCATCAATGTCTCTCATGGTAACCATAAGTAGACCCGTCCCCGGTTCGGAACCGAATCGGAACTGAACCGCCGGTTCACGCTTCCAAATGTTAGGAACCAGAACCGCACAATACCGGTTCTAAAACCGGCGGTTCTGGTTCCAATCCGATTTGGTTCTGGTTCGATTTCCGGTTCCTTTTGTATTTTTTATATTAAAGTTTAATATTTTTAAATAAATTAATAAAGAGTTCCAAAAAAATACAAGAACAAATATCTCTCATTGTTAAAACTAAGTACAAAAACAAGATAGTTAATAGCTAAGTAGTTATAAATTTGGAGTAGATTGTAAAATCCTACAATCTATTATTTTAAAAAATAATTTAGTTATTAATAAATTATGGATACTTATTACGGATCATTTTAATAAAAAATATTTTAACTAGTATAGTATTAACTAATGGGTAGTAATAACTCCTATAATCGTTATTTCAATTAGTAGTACAACTGATACTATTATTATAATAATAACTATTAGCATTAGTAATATTATTAATAAGATCATTATTAAATCAAACCGGACTAGTAAACCTTCGATGAATTAATTCCACTTTAGGTCCTCCGAGTTTTGTGTCATTTCCATATTTAGTACTCATCTTCCACTTTATCCATTTTTGGTACCTTACTATTGTTTTCTTGACCATTTGTGGTCCATTTCTGAGCATATTTACTATCGGAAAAGGACTATATATGGTCAAGAAAACAATAGTCACGTACCAAAAATGGATAAAATGAAAGACGAGGACTAATTGTGGAATTGGTGCAAAACTCGAAGGACCATAAGTGGAATTTCTTCACCTTCAATTTCAAACCGAAAGTATTATGCCTGGTTCCGGTTCCGGTTGAACCAAAAACTGTGAACGATAAGTCCACCGGAAACATTAATTTGTTAGTGACATGAAACCAGCTAACTTCAATTCAATTGGGGTGACTTTCCTCCTCTTTTCGTCTTTCCCAGTGACATGAAATGAAATCCCGCTGACAAGATCATGTCTCCCTGGTTGTCATTTGGTAGCTCGTTATCTAACGGCCTCCTCAAATGAAGTGGGCTCAGAGAAAGTTGTGTACTTGTGTGCAAGCCTTCCGGGAACGCTGGTACAGCAGTTATTGCCTCCCATCCCCATCGAATGCCACTAGTCAAAACTCACAAGTTGGTAACCCACAATTATGGGGCAAGTGGGTACTTTTCTCCCAATGTGAATAAGGAAAAGGCCGAGCCTTTGCTTCGGGGATCGAAATTCACACAAGGATTAAGAAAATGCAGAGCAAATTGTAATCCTTTCTTCGCAGCAGACCGCCCATACATATGCCCTTGACGTCAGATTCAAGAATGTGAAAAGGAACAAGTGAAGAAAAACAGCCCCAGTCCCATACCCCTACCGGGATCTACCCTCCCACTGATTTGGGCTACCACTCTCACTCCCGGAGAGACAATGGGATTGGTTTGTGTGGGTGGAGGAGGAAGAGGACCCCACAGGGTCACCCACCGCCCCGCGCAACCCCACCCTTCAGACGGTCAACAGCTCAACTTCACCCGTCACAGTCGCCTGTAGCCCCCACCCCCATCCCGCAAAGAGATCCTGTCTCTGCTCATTTTTTATTCCATACTTTTGCTGTACACTTGTATGATAAAATGCTCAAGAGAGGTTCTTACTGGTTGGTTACGTTACCCACTCTTAGCTGGAAAATCTCAATTCCCATCATTTGCCTACTAGGCCTCGGTGCGTTTTTTTGTTTCTTTCCTATGATATTGGGATAAAGCGGAGTGGGTCTTTTGCACATGGAGTCATCTTTGAGCTTTTTCCAACTTTTAGGGTTCCCGTTGAGTGGGTCAAAAGAGCTCCATTGCTGAACTTTTCTCCTTCACATTCATGTGTTGCTGTTGTATTCTTCTATAAAAACTATCCACTCTTCCATGTTGATATAACTCGAGTCTTGGTCAACTTTTGTTCTTCTTTTGTTGATTCGGGGAACCCATTGATTGTACGAAAGCTGGAATATTTTGACTTATTTTTTAGGTGGCTGTTGGCATATTATCTACCACTTCTATCCTCAATATATACTACTCCGTAATATACAAGTATTCAATAGTGTACCTGCTTAAAACTTTGCCATTGGTTGTTCTTCCACGGTGGGTGGCCTAACTTTTAAAATGATTCTCTTCTTGATCACATCCTTCACCTTCATCACCATTTTCTACAAATCTTTATCTTTTAAGACAGTACCTCTATGGGCTGCCGACTTTAGATTGTTGTCCTTCTGTTTCTGGAAAGATTTCTCTCTTGTTGGTTTGATTCCTCCAAGAAGGCCACTACCCAGGAGCAAACCTGGTATCTCCTCCGAGGCAGATCATGTTGAGAATATATATGAGATGTCAGTCTTAGATTTGCCTGACCTGGTGTTAGAATGCATTCTGGAAAAGCTCCCTCCACAGGGGCTATGTGAGTTGGCCAGTGTTTGTAGCTCCCTGAGGGAGAGATGCATAAGTGATCATCTATGGGAAAGGCACTTAAAGCAAAAATGGGGAAAGATCATCGGCCCTTCTGCCTACAGGGAATGGCAGTCCCATATCACTTCCAGAAAGGATTCCAGTTTTTTTCACCAATGCAAGAAGAAAGGCTTTCTAATAAGTTATCTCACCAGGTTTTGGCCTCTTTCTGGAACTCTTGGCCCGAATTTGGAAGGTGGTGACAAGAGAAGTTATTTTCCACCTGTTGATTCTAAAATGTTCTGGTTTCTTGCTCTTGAATCTGGGAAGTTTTGGTTCCCTGCTCAAGTATACAACCGTGAGGTATCATTCATCTCAAGATTGGTTTATTGATGGTTTTCATGATTGTCATTGAATTTGATTATATATGGTATGTTGCCTGTTGCTGCAGAATGGTCACGTTGGGTTTATGTTATCTTGCTATGATGCTGAACTTAGCTATGACTCCAAGACTGACACTTTCCAGGCTAGGTAATTGTGAAACTTTCTTTTCCCTCTCGCTTTTCCTAGTTAGTAATTTTTTTATCTTCAATCTTGCATCTCCAAATCGGAAATAGGCGTCTTAAAGTTTTTTAGTAAATTAAACGACATAATAATATCTAGAAGCATCCAAAACGATGGCCAAAATGTAATTTTTCTTCAGTGCTGGTTTTCCTAGCTAGTTATTGTTAGACAATTTGCATGCAAGGCTAAAAAGCCAAATGATAGACCTAGTGCCTGTTTAAGGGTTGTTTGGCTGAATGGCTGTATTGCTCAACTTTCTTTCTTATCAATTATTCTTATGTTAATCAGACAAGACTAGGAGCATTGAGATCAAACTAGACATGACCAGAATTTTTATTCGAGACAAGATGAGAAATATTCACTTTAGACCACAACATACCACAGTAGATTTTAAAGTTGCAGTTCTGAAGAGATCACGTCCCAAGTCAAATGCTACTTATTCAGCTGATCTTTTGATTATTGATTCTTCTGCTGATAATCACGAACAGGCTATGAAAGCTGATAAGATTTAGAAGCTAAATTATAGGGACATTAAGATCCGTACTGGCAGTTTTGAACGCCAGAAGCTTGCAATCTCTACCAATAATAGTCACATTGTGTGGTTGTAGTCTTGAAAGCATTGGCAGGAAACTTTGATGTCTAGGCAAGGGAGCAGTACTGCTCTATGAAATGGAATAATAATGTGGTAGACAAAAAAATTGGTGTCCTACAACATGTTTTTAGTATTGTGTTATTGAAGTTAGCTTTGTTTTTTCATCGACAGGTATCCACCTCATGGCAGGATGGCAGTTGCAATTGAGACTGGTGTGACATGGGATAGACTAAGAGCTCCTCCTGTTGATACCTCTCCACATAATCTTCACATCTCTGATTGCTTGAATGATTTGAGCCCTGGGGATCACATTGAAATCCAATGGAGAAGAAACAAGAAATTCCCATATGGTTTGTCCTTGATACCCCTCACTCCACTAACCCCAAAGGGCCAAAACCTTTAGTTTTTCTTATTTTTTGTGAAGAAAGTTATATTCCATTCAAAAGCATTCTGATTTCGGTAATTTCTACCATTATGCTGATTGCTGGAGGGATATTATTACGGTTAATATTTAAATTCATGCTTTCTTTTCAATTTTCTTTCTTTTATCTTTTCCTATTTTATGGGTTGGTTGTAAGTTTCCTTAAGATTCTTTATTGTGGATGAAGTAACCACTAACCAAAAAGACGAACGCCTGGGTCCCATCTGATAACCTTTTATTTCGTTTGATCTACGATTTTTTCTAAAACTTACTAAGTTTTTTCTTTCACAAAAGTAAATTTATGTTAAAGGCACAAGTTTATACTCTGAACATTTAGGAGTGTGGGCTTAGCATAGTAATTCTTAAGCTTCAAATGTGTGAAATACTTCGTGTAAAGTTCATGATATTTATTTTTCACATGCAAGTTTGAGTATATTTAGCTCACACCTATCCAAAACAGGGAATTTAAATTATTCTTCTCTAATAGAAAAGTAGTATAGACGTTTCAATAAATGGGAACAGCTCAAATAAAGGCAAATGTGACACATTGACCCTTATTTTAGACAAACCTAATTTGTTTAAGAGCAAATCTTATTTATATTTAAGATAATTCAATCCTTTTAGATATCTTCAACACATCAGGAAAACCAGTTTATTCAATCATTTCAACAAGATTCATCCGATCATACGGGCTCCAAGTTTGACTTGAAATCTCAACCAGATTTTGGGCAGGTGTGGATAGGACTTGTGGAGTCAGCATATAACTTTACATAGAAAACTTGTTCAACATTTGAGTTGGCTTTAATTGATTGCTATTCGGGATGTTATTGTCATATTTTCTTGCTGTTAACAATAAAGTCAACATCAATGCTTAATAGGGGCAAACATCTAATAATCCTATTTTAGAAGTATCTAATTATGATGTGGCAACTTTTTATTGGGTAGGTAGACAGCTACATCAGCATCTTTTGTAAGAATTGTGTTGGTGGTACTTTATTATTCTTGATTAGTAGTCTGATGATGTGGGTTGTGGATCAACCATTATTATCTTGAAACAAATAGGAGATGATTGAGTTTTTATTCTTTGGGGATATGATCAAATCTATCCCCATGGATTTTTGCAAATAATTGATGGATTTTCTAATATTTGTGGGGTGAATCAATGCAGGGTGGTGGTATGGCATTGTTGGCCACTTGGAAACATGTGATGGGATTCACAGCTACTGTCGTTGTAATGAAAGTGGTGAGTTGCACCCCTCTCCCTGCCCCATTTCTTTGGACATGTGCATTGCATCACATGTTCTACTTATAAAATACTCCTCATCTGTCATCATTGTTTCTACCTTTTTATGTGTATTTATGCAAAACATCATTAAATAATACTATCACATATAAACTAATAATAATAAATATTTTAGAAATCATTTTAGTCAATACCAACTATTTGAATATATAATGAAATGATACTGAACCATTTTTTGACTAAAAATCCGGAATTTTAACTCATCCAGACTTATACAGAGCCACCTAATGAAATGTACTATGTTTTTTAAAACACAGTCACTTATTTAATGGCTTGGTATATGTTTTTAATGAGTTAAATGACTATACTGGCAAAGTGGCTCCGTATCATTTTGGTAATATATTCAAATAGTTAGTATTTTTCCATCATTTGCAATGGAGCCAAAGATTCATTATTTTTTGGCTTGAGATTATGATGGAATAAAGCAAAATGGCTCACTAAACTGTTTGCGCTTCTTTGTTATGAAGCAGCAGTCAGTCCATGCAATTTTGGACGGGATTTTCACTATGGGTCATCCGGAAACATTCTCTCTGTGCTTTTAGTACAGGGGTAAGACTGCGTACATCCGACCCCCCTTACCCACCGTAGGTGGGAGCTTTTGCGGCACTGGGGTAAATGAAAATGAAAATGATTCAAATAGTTAGTATTGCTTAAAGTGATTTTATTTTAAGTTATATGTTATTATTGGTCTACAAGTGTAGTTGATATTATATTATTATCTAAAAAAATTATTTCTCATTTAGATGACGTTTGTTTCTTGCATTATTAAGTTTTAATGAGGGCATCTAGGTAAAGTTTAAGTATTTTAATTACCCCGTCACCCAGTATGTTTTCTTGTATTGCGTGGTTTGAGATAACCTTAGGTCGTTTGTAAAAGAAAGAACGAGTATGTGAGAAATATTAGGAAAAGGTCACAACTTACAAGTGAGGGGTAATTGACTTTATCTCCATCTGAAAAAGAATATTCCTTGAAAAGGATATCGAGATGGGACCCATTTTTTGCTAGCCGTTTCTCTTCATTTCTCTTATACTTTATCTTTTACTTGTATTTCCCCTTAGACCAAGCATTCTAGCCCGGCTGTTTGTGAGTTACCGTGCCGGTGAGAGGTCTCGAGTTCGAAACCCGTTAGGCACATAAGGGTTTGAAACTCAATGGAGTGAGCTTCAGCCCAGGACCCCAGCCCCCCTCTCCCAGATGCCCCTGGAGTAAAAAAATGTATTTCCCCTTAACCAAACAGAGACTTATGATAAAGGGGTCTTATTAGTATGGGGCCCTAGTGTTTCATCATAATAATAAAAACAAACAAAAACATTCGAGTGCATATAGTAATGTGCAGTCGGCGGCGGCACCGTAAAAATTGTGCCATTGCCTTTCACCCTATATGAAATTTCCATGAAGCACACTTTAGTTGCAATTTTCTTGGGTCCACTATATTCCAAGCTTGAATATTGAGGGTTGTTTTGTATTGTTCTTATAAAGTGTTTGAAATTAGATTCAAAAAAGTTGGTTTACTAATTTAGGGTAAGGGGTATAAAGTAAGGTTAAGTTATGTGAATATAGATGTTTGGTAATCAGGTTGAGTCAGAATGCCCAAAAACAAGCAAAAACTTTTTTTGGTATTACTCCCTGACTTTTAAGCTACAACGTTTTGGTCTCCAAGAATAACATTTTGGTCTCCAAGAATATCTCTGAAAGACACAATTTCAAAACAAATAAAAACCATTCACTCAAAAAATGCTTTCGGGCCTAACATCCCTTGGTTGGTTCATTCTAGTGCAAATTTGATCAAATTGTGGTGTCGATTTAGGCGTGGTTGGTCTACTACTATCGACTGAATTGATGAAATTAATATATTGAAATGATTCAATGCGTGAAATAAAAAAAAAATTGATAAGGTTGATAAGTTGATTGGTTTTGGTTTAGGGAGATTTCCCAAAATAGGATTGCTATGTTTTTCTTCCTGAAACATGATGGCAATATTTACTGTCATCTTTTGGTCATGACTGTCAAATAGTTGCAGTACTATGCATTCAGTATTTATTATAATTAATGACATTATTTTTCAATTATGCCATTATTTTTCGATCATGACGATTTTGGTTGGTTTGTTAATTACCATAGATTTGGTATTATTATTATTATTATTATTATTATTATTATTAAACCCTACATAGGTGTAACTTTAAGAGAAAAAACCATAAGAGTTAAAATATATTTATCCATGAGGACCCTCACTGTTTTTGTCAAAAAAATTATTCACCTTCCAAAGAAAAAGTTATGTTTCTGTATCTGGTCATGTTTATAAGTAAAATTGTCTAAAAGTTCAATTTATTTGGTAGACTTGTGGGTTTTTTTTGGAGGAAAAGGGATTGCTGACCTTTTCCAACAATCATGCCAAACTGAGCCTTGAGTCTGATTTGACCTTCGTTTGGGTAGGCCCCCTTTGAGTCCCATTATTGTGAGCGAGCATGGTTCTTTTTTGGAGCCATTTAGCATTTGGCCTAGAAACAAAACTTTCCAGCGGCCTTGTCCTATTTTTTCCAAACATCCTAATGAGTGTTGTCTCACACTATCTCAATGGATCATTTTAGGACCATCAAACTTTTAATTTCATCTGTTTGGCTATGGAGTAGGCATTGATTCTGTTTCCAATATGAACTGTTCTTTCTTTAGCTAATTATTTAAGGAATATAAGCTAGGAAAGTTATCCCATAGGGGAGGATGGAAACGTCATTATGCGTGTCAATATATGAGATTATGAGGTAGATGCGTACGTAAGTGGGGTCTTGAAAAGGAGTATCAATAATACCACTCTTTCTAGTCTTCCACCTACTGAGGATCAACCACTTTAATCATCACGTTAATGCTTTCTTTGGTGCACAACATACATAGTCTAGAAAAGGATATATAAAAGTGTTTGAAATTGTCTATGTTTGTGCTTTTGTTTTTTTAACAGAAGTAGAATTAGAATTAGACTTTTAACAGAAGTACTTCTGTACTTTCACCCAAGTACTCCAATATCTGTTTCTACTCCATGAAAGATTAGAAATAGTTTTAAGAAGTAGATCCAAACATCCCATAATCACACACTATGAATGATGTAACGACAAACATGTTAAGGGATATTGCAACAGTCACAAAACAATTCTAATACTAAGAAATTACCCTAAACAGGAGTAAAACATATGGCCTTAGGTATATATCTCGCACTATTATTTTAGGATGACAATACTTTACTCCTATTTAGAGGAATTCGGAGAAAACATGGTACTTTTATTTAGGGAAGACGTTTTTTTTGCTGAACTTACTCTTTTTCTCATACTATTTGTTCTGTTAAATGTCAATATCCTTGACTGGGATGTCAATATCATTGACTGGGATGTCACAGTGATGTCATCCAACCACAAGGTGCTTGGCGGAGAAGATGTTTTATTTTACTCCATTTAGGAAATCTCCTTTAAACCCCAATATCTTTTTGGACTAAGGCTTGGATGTTGTTGTAGGAAATCTCCTTTAAACATTCCAAAACAATGACTAAATAGTTTAAATATTTCATTTTCAATGTTATAGTGACAAGCCCACCAGTGTCACTGATCCCCTCCATAGATCACTTTAACCACTCACATCTTCTATGGTTCTGTTGGTGCTCATTCACATTGTGCTATGTATGCAGATATCGTATCCCTAGAGTTCAATCAATATGCTGCTGGATCGCGGTGGAGAAGAACGATCGTTAGCAGAAAAGAGCACCGTGAGGAAGGAAACGAGGCGGACGGGTTCTACGGAGGAATCAAGAAAGTTCACAGCAAAGAAGAGATTTCAGCTTGGAAACGGCTCTGGCCAGTTGAAGACCTGGAGTAGATCAGATTTGGTAGATGAACATCACACTAGAAAGGGCACTTTGTAAAGTCACTGTCACCCGTTCTCTCTAATCATGGTTCTATTCTTGGAGCGAGATTACCTTGTAATTCTTCACTTCATAGATAGTAACCGCATCCTGTCCAGAATGATGGAAAGTGATGATGGAGTATATAATTGGTGTGCGTGATTGAACTGATCTTTGTCGAACTCAAAGCTATTAATTGATTATAATAAGTAATAACGGCTGCTGTGTCTTCTTCTCGTTGGGTTGGATCAGGGCCGGTTCTGAGGGGGGCAAGAGGGGCGACCGCTCTAGGCCCGAAAAAAAAATAAGTTCAAAATTTTTTCTTTATATATAGCGTGAGTAGGTTTCTTTTTTTATTCTTAAGTTCAACTAATTAGGCCTAATGATTAATTTTGTTGACAATTTGAAAATTTAAAACATAAATGAAGAGTCTTAAACAGAGACAAGTTTAAAACAAAATATATACATTAATTTTTAGCAGGATCAGTTGTAGTTTTTAAAAACAATATAATTGTTGCTGCATAAATAAAAGACACTTCTCTCTAGTCCTCACATCTTTTTAGCTTTTATGGGTTTTTATTCAATTTAATTATTAGAAATTAGTTCAAATAGGACTAAAACTATGGCAAAAACCTAAAATAGGACTTGCTATGTTTTTATTCCAAAATAGGACCATATGAGTCCTATTGGAAACATACCTATTTTTGCATTCCATTCTTACCCTTCCATTAAATATGAATTAAAAATAGTCAAAAGTCATAATTAAATGTTTAATTCATAATAAATTCGAAAAAAAATCAAAAATTCGAAGAAATATAATTACAAAATTTATAAAATTTTTATAAAATAAAAAATTCAAAAACTTTTTTTAAATAATTTTATTTTTAAAAAATTAATAAAAAATAATAAAACTCCGTAAAAAAAATTTAAAAAAATATGGATGCCTTTCCCACCGCCTGTACTACCTCCCAGCACCACGACCTCCGGCCGATGAAAAAAATGCCATTTTCCCAGAAAATGTCATTTTTCTGAAAATGCCAAAAAGTGGCATATTTCTCTTTTCGAATGCCAACATTTTCATTTTTTTCTGCCATAAATATGGCATTCGTAATGAACTTGGCATTTTTTTCCCTGGTGACTGGAGGTGGTGCTGCTGAGGCGGCAGAGACGGCGGCGATTTTTTTTGAGTTTTTATTTTTTTTATTTTTTTTTAATTTTTTTAATTTTTTGGAAAAAAAAAGTTAATTAAATTTTTAATATCGAAATGTTTTTCTTAATTTTTTAGTATTTTTTACGAATTTTAATTATTTTTTATTCTTTTATTAGGAATTAAAACATTTTAATAGCTATAAGGGTATAATTGTCCAAGGTACACATAATTGGTCCTATGCAAACATAGTTCATTTTTTGGTCCTATTTGTGAAAAGTGAATGACTTTTAGTCCTATTCTGATAATTAACTCTTTAATTATAACATAACAAATTCATATAATTATTTTAGAGTCCGTTTTTCTCAAATTTCACCCCATAAATAAAAGACACGTCTCTCTAGTCCTCACATCTTTTTAGCTTTTAAGGTTTTTTATTCAATTTAATTATAACATAACAAATTCATATAATTATTTTAGAGCCCTTTTTTTTCAAATTTCACCCCAATTATTCATTTGTTTCCAAATTTCAATAAGCTATATATGAGTTCCTAACAGTAGTTGTAGTCATTAGAGACCGTCAAATTTGCAATCTTCTTGCGCGAGTCCACTTGGCAGCCAAACATTTTGTCTCTTTGAAAACATTTACTCTTTCGAGACTTCAAACTTTAGACACTCATCAACGGTCAATAAATCATTCTCAACTTATGAATTCAATATGTGGTAATATTTCTTTGCATTTATCATTTCAAAAGAAAGATTATTGTTGTTATATGTGGAAATTTTATTGTTTGTCATATTTATTAGTGGAAAGAAGGTTGCTTATGAAGCAATTATTAATGATTTGCTTCACATTGGTGTACGAGAAACGTTTTTAAGTAATATTTTTTCTTTTTATTCGATACTCGTGTTGTTACTTTTGCCCAAATATGTAACTTATATTTCGTATAATAATAAAGGGATTCTCATCTTTATTTTATGAACTTCATTGCTCAAATATGGTTTACTGTTTATTATGGATATAGACCCAAAATAGTGTACCGCCCATAGGCCTAGAAATAAATAGGACCGACCCTGGGTTGAATGGATAACTTTTAACACGTTTGGTGCACAAATAATTTTGGGTGAAATAAATGAGTTGAGTTATATTTGATAAAATGATTGAGTCAGTTGAACTATTTAAAATTACTTTTTAATACAAAAATTAAAGAAAATAAGTTGCTTTGTTCTCATTTAAGTCATGCTCGCTATTAAAAAGTAATTCATGTAGTTTAATAAAATTCACACCAAAATTAGTAATGTTTGAATGGTTATCAATCATTCATATTTTATCAATTTAATATCGATCACAATAAAAAAATCAAGATTACACATGTCAAAACAAGAGTAGTTTGATCTGAGTTGTATCAAACCTCACTGACCTCGTCCAAACCTGATATGACACGAGTTCAAAAGTGTTGGCCATCTCTCACACAAAAAAATAGAACCAAATAAAAGAAAAAATAAGAGCTCATGCGAACCGTTGGATAAATAATCCGGCCCTTTTTGTTCTCAAGGATGTAGGGTACTCCAAACATAGCAATTTCATTTGCTTCTAGTCTTGAGAAATGATTTACTTTAGAAATGATACAATAACAGATTAATGATAAAAGTTGGTAGTGTTTAAAAAAGTATTAGCGTTTGTTGAAAAAATTGATAAAAGAAAGCGTGAAAAACATATTGAGGCGTTTCTTCCCAACATACAGCTTCTAGCTTGAAACTGCTTAAATTAAATAGACCCATCTCTTTGAAACCACTTCATGTAGCTTTCTAAAGAAAAAAAATCTGAACAATACTTGATGCAAACACTCCTATAATGTACTGTAGAGGGGAATAACATAGTCTAGAGTAATTCCCTGATGCCCCTTTTTAAGCCAACAATGTCCTGGGAGGCTGGGAGCCCCAATTTCTTCGGCCAAGCCAAAGCGCAGTTTCAGCCTGTCTTCGAGGTCTGTGGTGGCATGGTGCAATTAGGTGTATACACTGTCCTACAACGGACCACTATAGATCACACTATCACACCTGATTCATTACCGGCCGATCCACAGTTGGGCACAGTGATCCAAACTTACCACCAAAAGAAAGGGATCTAAACGGGACAATTTGGAGCTGGTTTGGTACCATTGAAATCGAGGAACATTTTGAATCTGCTAAAATTGGCTAAGTATGTTGAATAATGAAAAAAAATACATACATTACTATAAAAGTAAAGAAAAAATTATATTGAAATAAAAGAAGCTAAAATTGAAGGTACCTGGAACCTTTTTTCTATTATTGTCAAGTCAGGTGTGATGTGAAAAATTTAGTGTTTGGCAAAAAAGTCTTGCCGATAAGATTGATAATCCGAAAAGCCAAATTACCATACGTTCACTTATAATAGCTATTTTTCTCAAATACATTATACAAACTTGTAGTACATATCAATACACAGCCAGAACACCAAGTTTGATAATGATCAATGATCCAACCTTAACAACTTTGTCTGGAAGAGGAAAGCATTTGCCTACTTCAGTTTTGCTTGAATGTTGTGATCATAAAATCTTGAGGCCGGAAGTCTAATTAGACTCCCTAATCTTTATCTCATATATGAGTCCTTGAAGATCTTTTACCACAGATCGTGTCCCAGATACTTCATTTATCTGCAAACCATGTCGAATTGCTTCATCAATCACCAGGCTATCCATTCTGTAAAGAGAAACAATATTTGGTGTAAGCAAAACCATTTAAGAATCAAGAAAAGAAAATACTACCTATTTCTCCAGGGCTTTTACAGCTTCAAAATTAAAATTGGCTTTATAAACGTTTAGGATATCAAATAAAATTGGTCCAAAAATAATCCTAGACAAATATTCATAAACTGCTAAACTGGCCTCATTTGGTAGCATTGATCGACTTATTATGCTTTTCAGCAGTAATAAAAACAAGTAGCATCTGAAAAACTTATCTGATTATAATGGATGTTACTAAATGTTTCTACTTCCGTGTAGTTCAGCCAAATAACCCTTATAAAACGGGTTATTAGTTTAAGCTTGCATTTTCAGATTTTTAAATACATAACTAATGGATTATGGTATCCCTATTTAGTGCATAGTGATAGTTACCATAACAAATTTGGAAATGTAATTTACAGTAAATATAGATGTGATTCAGAAATGGAAATCTTGGACTGTCTTCATCTTCAGTAGTAAACCAAAAGGAAAAATAAACTCAGACAGTGGTAAAATTACAGATACCTTGTGTCTATATATCAAAATGAAGTTATTTCTTTCTATAAAACAGCATCTATAACAAACTGGTCAGCAATTCAGATTTCAGAACCGCAAAATAAAATTCAGATGCAGAGATGTACATACGTTTTTGCTCGTGATACATATGCCAAGATAAATTTGCATTTGTCTCCACAACGGATTTTGAGTAGCTGCTCCACAGTATCAAAGAGTAAAGGAACATTTGATTGCTGAAAACTTGCATATTGTCAAGGATTATTGCAAAACAAAAGAAACTTGGCCTCTAAAATGTAGTCAATGGGTAAACTCGTTTTTATACATAGGCCAGACGCTCTTGAAATGTCATGGTATGATAAGACACTACAAAGTTATGCTGCATAAGGATAAGTATGAATGTGATCATTAATTTTGAATGAAACAAAACAAATATGCTTAATAGCCTAGTAGAACCTATAAAGGGGAGAAACTAAAAGAAGTATTAATTAGGATATAAATGTCAGCTCCTAGAACTAGATCAAATCCTTCAGGATGCTTTTCTAATATAGAGCTGAGCTGATCATTATTGCCCCACTCCAGCATCTCGGCTTTTAAACCTGAAAGCAATCAAGGACAATAAATGAAGGCACAATCAATTATTGTTTGAAAGAGTTTGTTTACCAACCAGAATATATCTCAGAAGAAGAATGCAGCTCTATGTTTTTCTTCAGGATCTGAAATTGGTCTAAACATTTGGTGCTGAGTTAACAAGGTTTATGAAAAAATGTAAATAATTGAAATGCAAACACTTGAACTTGCCTTTAGGACCTCCTCACTGTGGTCTGTCATCACGACTTCACGACAAAACTTGCTGCACAAT